AATTACGTCTTCTTAAATATGTTTCCATATCATCTATCCTTCGCTGCATATGAGCCACAGGCTGTTCGACATCATCCATGCGTTTCTCAAGATTAGTATCTTTCTCAACGACGGCTTTCAGTTCAATGGACATATCCAAGATCTTTTTCTCTATTCCGTCTGATCGGCTGTTGATTAACTGAGTTATGTCTGACAACTGTGACGAGATATCAACTCGAGTGTCATCACTTGCTCTTTTCTTTATGACTGGTGATTTACACGGAGTGACAGGCAGTGCAGGAAACTCTTCTTCAGCTAAACAGAAGGCATCATCTTCGCTCATGCAGGAAACAACATAATCATGGCCCGTAGTGGCCGGTGAGCATGCATTAAAGCTAACGCTAACGTTAGCCGTCTTAGCATCAGCCGAAGAATTACCTGAGTGACCACGTTTACGCCCCATGACAACACGATTCCGGGGAAAACGTAGAATTAACAACTACATAAAACGATAAACACTATGTACGACAAGTTAAAAGTTATTTTATACTATCTAAATACTTATGGTGCAGGAGCTCGAAGAAACACGTCTGATCAGGTAGCCATCTTGGCCGGACCCCCTAAAATGCCCATCAGTGCTTCACACCCCAGTCCAGCAGGTGACAGTAGAGCACCTTTAATGCTGATTCACCACAAAACATCTACAGAAGAAGAGTCCAGTGGAGGAGCTCCAGACTTCTGTTCTGTGTTTACTTTATTATTAAAGTTTTTGCTTCTGAATGGGCGAGTTTGAACTACGAGTACAGTAATAAAGACAAAGAATAAATCTTTAGTAACTTAATATAGTTTAGCTTTATTTTTACTTGCTTATAAAGAACTCAGTGTTATAATTCAGTCAAGATAGCTTGAACTTTGCATTTTAATCTCTTAATCTTGCTTTTGTGCGATACCCTCTGAAAATATGAACTGATAAATAAGGAAACATAATTAAGAAAAGAAACATAAATAAGGACAGAATCATACCTGTTTGTGTATGAAATATCAGCTGAAATAACAAAGTCCAGCGTTCCTGGTCGCTTCTGTCGAGGAATTTACAGTTGAGCCCCAATATATACTGAATAAAGGCAAGCAACTGAAGTGTCCGTCAGATAAACAGTCTGGCAGCAGAAGGTTCAATATAAAAGCTGGAGTGTGTTGTCGTGATTTCTTCAGCACTGAACCTCCACACGAGTTTTCCCTGCTCTGAGCTTTTACTCGGATAATGCCTCTGCTAACTGTGTGCTCAGCACTACTGCCATCTAGAGGACAATAACAGCAGCATCCACTAATCGCCACATCTCCTTTCATTAGAGAGAAAACATCATCTGCAGAGCAAACCCAAAATAAACTGCAGCTTTGCTTTGTTTATGGGCGAATGTAAGTTCACGCTAGTGACGCCATCATGTGGTTTGTATTTGAATGGCGGAAGGCGGGAACGCGTGTTCGAAATAGAATCAGTGTTCCAAACCGCAGAATGTTGATAAGAGGATGTCAAAGGTTCTGTTGTATTTCCGGCTGTTTCCGTAAGAAATCTGAAGCACTTTAACCGCTAATTTTGCCCACAATATTATTATATGTTGGAAACGAATCAATCAGTACTACATTCATGGGGGTGGGTGTTTAAACAAACTACAAACATGGCGGAAGTGCGGGGCCAACCGTCAAAAAGTAGAGGCTTCGGTAACATTGTGTGAATGACTATTGATTAACATCTAGCCGACTGGAAAATATTTAAATCACGTTTTCCGTGTTATATTTCATCTGCAACAACAATGTGAACTAATATAAAGACGTGTTTGGACATTTACCTTCTGAATGTATAATTATCCAAACACCTAAGGAGATTTCTCAGCATGAAAGACTCGTGAATGGCAGATTAACCTGCTGCTGCTTCTCCAGTATGGTAGGCAATTAAATGTGAAAAAAATGTGGATGATGTGTCGAGATGACTAGAACTTAGTATAAGAATAAGACATGGGACACAGCAAATGAGTTCAGTATGGAGAAGATTGTACTCATTTCAAATTTAATTTAAAAAAAGAGTAGACTGGCAGTTTCATTTCTCTTCTTTCCTCCCTGTATTTCATAGAGTTCTACTCTTTACTAAAGTGTTCCTATCTTGTTTTGTGGATCTGTTTCACAACGAGCGATTATCTCTGCTTTTGAGCAGTTGACATCATGTGTCATAAGTAAACATCTTCAGGGTGGACATGCAGCAAAGAAAACACTTTAAATGTTAATATATTTTACTGATGTGATGTAATAAAGCAACAGAAATCATTTAACATTATAAGAAAATGAGTTTTATAATAATATGGACTAATACAAATAGTTTTTACAATGAAGTTTTAATAATAAAAGTCAACAGAACTGCAATACATGAAATAATGACTAAGGATACTTTTCTGATAAAACAGCCATTATGGATGGAAAACCAGCATTCAGATAGAAATCCACCATTTAATGATCTCCTACACCAGTATTTTTTCAATGTTCAGATATAAACACTCTTTCCACAATAGTAAATGTTTCGCTAAATGTGTCATCCGGGCAGTTTTTAGTTTTTTACTGACTGAATCTCTCCACATTATTGATGAAGAGTTCAGATCATTTTATAAACTCGGATCATTTAGTCTTGATCTCTGAGGTCTTAGTTTACCCTTCGTCTTTCAAGTCCTTCGGTAGTCAATTGAATATTTTTGTCACGTCACAACTACAAAGACATGCACTATGGGTAAATCGGGTAAGCTAAAATTATCCAGAGTTAATGTGTGTAAATGAGTGTATGGGTGTTGCCCAGTGATAGGTTACAGCTGAAAGGGCATCCACTGCGTGAAACATATGCTGGAAAAGGCGGTTCATTCTGCTGTGGCGACCTTTGATTAATAAAATGACTAAGCAGAAACGAAAATGAAGGAATGAATAATAGATGTCTAATAGATGTAGAAACAGTCATCTTGGCTAAAACAAGGCTACATTTGGGCTGTCTAATAGACGTCTAATAATAGGCCAAAACTAGACTAGTCATCAAATAAACAGAAATGATTGACAACACATATAAAGTCTGTCTTATCGGTCTATTTGACGACTAGTCTAGTTTTGGGGCATTCTTAGACGTCTACTAGATTTTCACCATCAGCCCAAGTTTAGCCTTGTTTTAGCCAAGCTGTGAAAATCCAGGAAGTCAGTCTAAGTTGGCAACAGAGAAGCACAGTGAAACAGAAAATAAACGCTCAGGGATGTCTGCACGGCAAAACAAATCTTGGCTTCTTCTTTGTTTTTCACACTTCACTCTCTTGTTTGTTTCTGAAAGGATAAGATGTGAGAAGTAGGGTTAGGTATCGAAACCCGGTGAGTTTCGGTGCCTAATTCAGGTGCCACTGGTGCTGCGACAAGAACATAAAGCAGGTCGCACACACGAAGCGCCGCTCAACGATGCGCAGCACCATGCATTTTAGAATTCGCAAGTCAGCGGCTGTCCGCAGCGCCCAGACACGACTCATGACTGTTCATATTTCTGCCGCGCTACAGAGCGCCATCTGGATAGTTTCATTTTAAATAACATGCGAATGTGCACATCTGGTGTGTGATACTATCAACTGTGATGTGCGCGCCATGCCGCGGCTCTGAGCGGCACATCTGCTGTGTGACGTCCTTAAGAAGCATCAAGGGGTGCATCAAAGGCACATATGAGTACGTTGTGTCACACCATCTCTAAATATTTTATTGTAAACAGCTTGGAGGGATACGATGTCAGGCGTTTGTTTTTGTAGCGTTTGTTCTTGATGATAGCGTTCATCTAATTTGCTTAAGCTAAGCATTCTACAGTATGGCTGTATTTAAAAGCAAGGATTCTGGCACACCAACATGCAGCAGATGCTTAACAAAAGTTGTGTGTAAGGGGGAAACGTCAAACTTAAGGCTTATGGAATCAACTTAAAGGTGAGGAATGGACTGGCTTTGACAGCTTGTGACATTATCTGACACTTTCAGTGAGTACATTTACATGGACACCAATACTCTGATTTTAATATGATTAAGACAATACTCAGATCAAAAGTCTTCCACGTAAACTGTGATTTTTGATTATCTTAAAGGACCACAGACACAAACTGCGAAGTAAACATTTATAGCCTATTGACGCACTGACGTTACTGGATCTATGAGCTATAACATATAACTGGGAATCATTAATGGAACATTCAAAAAGCCGCTCATGTAAACACCTGAATCATATTGTTGTCTTATTCAGATTAAGGCAAATCATCAGATCACTGATGTCCATGTAAAAGTAGTCACAAGCCCCAAAGCTGTTCCCTGATTTTGATGACAACCTTTCCACAGGTTAGTAGTAATGTATTGTAATAGCATAATGCAAATCTAGCATTCATGCTAACGAACAAATGATCAAAAGAAATATATTAATGCAATTCAAATAAATAAGATATGAATTGATGTTTACTTTAAACTTACTACAAATATAAATTTATATTGTTCAATAATAATGATTAATATATATATATATATATATATATATATATATATATATATATATATATATATATATATATACATACACACACACACACACACATTTTTTGTCAATTAATTTTGTGGCTAAAAAGTCGGTTCAGGCACAATTTTGGCACCGGTACCATTTTAAAAGTATCGATTTAGCACTGGTAAAAAAAAAACAAAAAAAACGATACCCAACCCTACTGAGAAGCACTTCAATCATGGGCGTAAATCTGATTTAACAGTAGGGGGGGAATAAATATAAAACTTCTTTCGAGTATTTTTTTGAAAGAGGCACAAATAATACAGCCGAATTATACTAATAAAGACATGTCCCCGCAGTTAAAAATGGTTTCATCATTAATATTATTATAGCATGGAAACAACGTCACTATAGTTATTTTCAAAGTTTTTCTCAGGTTCAATGACAGCAAATTTGTATTCAAAATTATTTATTGCATTGTTTGTTGTGTTGTTTACAGTCAACTGACTCCTGAAGCAGAATCAATGCAGGAAAAGACATTTTCTCCACACTTGTAAACAATCGCTCGCGCCATTCGCGCGGCTCTGGGTCCCGACCAGACACGTCAGTGCTACCAAGGCGACCAATCACAGAGCTTGCGCTACGCGTTGTTGCGACGTGTAGTTACATTTTTTGAGAGGTGCACGTCAGTGACGCCGACGGCCACGGTGAAGGGCTACGCGTCAGCGTTTGACGCAGAAGTATAAATCAGCCTGACACTGTACATCTGACTGACCCTGCTCTGCCTGTTCCTCAATCATTTCTTTCTCATTTGCCTGTGATTAATAATGTGATATTAGTGTTTTCATAAGGATTAATTCAGAAAGCCAAATTGCTTAATATGTGAACTTTTTGTACCTGGTGTTTAGCTGCACTGAAAAATTATCTTATGTCCATTTTCTCTGTCATTTTATCAAATGCATGACACTGCAATGCAGGTTTATTTATGCTGCAGACCATTTATAGATAAGTAATTATAATCACTAATACAGCAGATTCATGGACAATTACATCGGTAATCAGCATTTTTGCCGCAACTAATTTATGAATGAGTCAGTATTAACTAGATTGAAGGGAATCGCTTTATTTAGGGTGGATAAAATCCCCTACTTACTTACTGAAATTCAACATTAACTCCCGCATCCGCACACCTGATTTCTAATATAGACAAGCGGCGATGCACATGAACTTTCTGGAAAAAGTGAAAACGCTCATGCTTTAGACGGGCTCGTAAAACAACAACAGGACAGGACACAGCAGATTTTGTTCTTCTTGGCTTTGTTGCTGTTCATCAAGATGATGATGACGTCTTTTTGATCTTGAGTCGACCATGGCTTGTTATTATATGTATATATTATTATGGTGTAATGTCTCGGCTGTGTTTTTAAAATGGCGGTTTCTTTGTTTTTAATTCTTCTGCTTGTGTATGCGATGGTGACGTGTCTCTATAAACCAATAGCGTTCAGCTGTGGGTCTAGCTCGCCTTTTGGTACTCTTTAACAGTGGAAACGGCCATAAAAATGTACCAAAGCGCACCACTCAGTAGAACTACAACTACAGTAAATCAATGGTAGATTTCTGCTGTGTTTTCAGCAGCATTTCATTTGGAAATTTCAAACATTTCCCATAAATGGTTCTGTGGACTGCCATTGTAGAATGTTTTAATCGATCTATATTAATGAATTATCCTAAACTTAAAGAACAAAACATTCTTTAATATCTTTTAAATGTGTATTGACAGGGTTTAACACATTTTGGGTGCCGTGAATACTGAAAGAGTTGAGCTCTTCCAGATAAAAATATTGATTTAACTATTGACCTCTTGAACTATTCCCCTATCTGCACATACAGCAATGAAAGAATCACTCTGAAAGGACTCGTTACTGCAGAGTCACATTAAAGATTTGTTCCAGAACAACCCATCAATACTGCAAGTTTGCATATCTGTTAAGGTTACTCTCAGACGTGACACTCTTGTGTGTTTTTCAATGTTTCTGACTGACTGAATCTCACTTGTTTTTCTCCAGTGTGAGTCCTCTCATGTATTTGCAGGCTTCTTAACTGACTGAATCTCATGTCGCAGTGGGAACACTTGTACGGTTTCTCTCCAGTGTGAATCCTCTCATGTCTTTTCTGGCTTCCTGACTGATTGAATCTTTTGTCACAGTGTAAACACTTGTATGGTTTCTCTCCCGTGTGAATCCTCTCATGTGATTTCATTTGTGATGACTGACTGAATCTCATGTCGCAGTGTGAACACATGTACGGTTTCTCTCCAGTGTGAATCCTCTCATGTGATTTCATTTGTGATGACTGACTGAATCTCTTGTCGCAGTGTGAACACTTGTACAGTTTCTCTCCAGTGTGAGTCCTCTCATGTGTTTTCTGGCTTCCCAACTGAGTAAATCTCTTGTCGCAGTGTGAACACTTGTACGGTTTCTCTCCAGTGTGAATCCTCTCGTGTATTTTCAGATGTGAAAACTGACTAAATCTCATGCTGCAGTGTGAACATATATAAGGTTTCTCTCCAGTGTGAATCATCTGGTGTTGTTGTAAGCTTGTAGATGTAATAAAAGTCTTCCCACACTCAGAGCACACATACTCTCTCACACCGGTGTGGATCTTCTGATGTTTTCTTAAATTTCCTTCGTATGCAAAACTCTTTCCACACACAGAGCATGAAGGCTTCTCAGTTGCATGAACTCTAAGGTGATCATTCAGGCTTGAAGCCAACAGAAATGATTTTCCGCACTGATCACACTTGTGTGTTTTCTCTCCAGTGTGGATCAACATGTGTCTACTAAGGTTTGATGCATCTCTGAAACTCATCCCACACTGAGAACATGTGACTGGTTTCTCTCCAGTGTGGATCCGCATGTGGCTCTTGAGATTCTCTTTGTTTGCCAGACTCTTCCCACACTGAGTGCAGGTGACACGTTTTCTGTCTTTTCTCTTCAGTGATTTTGTTTTTTCTCTCATTTTAACATGGTGTGTCTCCTCCATCAGGCCTAAAATAAATATGAAAAGACAGCATTTTATTTAAGTGATATAAACAAATGATAGCAGACAACAACTATAAAATCACGATTATTTCAGTCTTCAGCAAAGTACACCGATCTTCCAGTCACCTTCTTTATATAAATATTTAATATTTGCCCAAACTATTTTCCTTCATTCATTCAATTTCAACAGCTGCTGTAACACATTGAGCCACTAAACACTGTTCTTATGATGTTTTTCTACAGGAGGAAAATGTGAATTACTTAGAAACACTTCAACTATAGTTGTGGTAAATATTGACTTCTCATTAATTACAAATTATCAGACCGGAGGTTTTGAATATCAGAAAATAGACTTTATTCTCCATAATAAAGCCGAGAAAGAGCAAAGCAGACCCCAGAGCATTCTGAACTTATTTCTGAAGGCATTTCAAAATTTAGGAAGTACTTCTTTTGTCACAAATGTAATAACTGTTCCAGCTTCATAATTTGCTTTTGCTACCATCTCCAATCATTTACTCATCATAGTTTCTCAACTGTGCTTCTTCGCTGAATAATTCTTCATCCAGTCAACACCAAAAACAGTCATCATATCTCACTGTTTGGAGCAATGGTCTCCAGTCAAGTATTTTAAATGAACTAGATCTTTGTGAAGCTGTAGATAATTCAATCATCCACATATCGTGACAGTGTTCATCCTAAGATATTTTCCCTAATTTTAACCCTTTATGCATTCTGGTGTATACAGTGTTTGCAATTCATCAAGCTACACAAGTACAAACAAGTTTCTACCCTCCTCTGGTAGTTACCTAAAATAAACTCAATAGAAACCAAACCACTTGAAATATTTATCATCCAAAAGAGCATATCTTTACATACAATGTGAACTTCAGCTGGAAAATCTTTTCTTATTGATTTTCTTAAATCATAACCTAAACATAATCTTGTTTTGTCTTCATATGTAATTATTGCCTTTAAATTCCATCAAAAATTATTAGTCATTTATACATTTATTACTACTTTAAATTTCAATTTAAAAATAAATGTCTAGGACAGATTGCATATTACAGTATCTAGATGTTTCTATTAGTGCTCTTATATTTTTACACTTTTCAATAGAGTTTTATACCTATTTCAGCATTTAGTGGTTTTATTTCTGGACAGATCTGCATCTAATCCATTTTAACCCTCACTGTGCTGGCTGATTTTATCTGCATCTTAGTCCTGTAATGACAATCATTTAGTTGGAATTTGACACTTCTTTCCTTTACCAATTTATTTTCTGATCTATTTATTAATTCCTTTTTTGTCTTTGAGTTATTTTCTTTTGGCTCATAATTATTTCCTAAGGCACTCCCATTAAACTAGTTGTTTATACAATTTTGATGCACTTTTTTTTAATCAGCTGACTAAAACTTACTGTATGTTTTGTAAATTTCTATTTGCTCTGTTTTAACTATTATTCCTTATTAATTCCTTATATTGTTTTCTTAAACACTTTTCTCTTTCAATTTTTCTCATAGCAATTTAGAACTGTTACTTTCTGACCTTATGCCCTATGAATTTATTTCAAATTGTTATTTCAATCTTTCCTTTAACTATAAATCATTTTTCTAGATTTGAATTTTTCCAGTTTTCAATATCCAATATTGATTTAGGCCATTCACAATACAATTATGTTAAGATTTTCCTTTACTTAATTAGAACTTAGTTCCATTCTTATTTATTCTCCAAATTATGTATTGCCTTATCAAAAGCTTTTTCTTTAGTCACCACCCTGCATTGTAATTTATCATTCTATGTTTAAGGAACTTTTATTAAGCCTACTGAAACTTAAACTCAAATTATTTACCATTCATCATAATATATAATTTTATCATTTAAAGTTTCACCTTAAAATTAAAAAATAATGTAAATTACATTAAAATTATTATTAAATTATTATTATTATTTTTTTTTTTTTACAAATTTGCATGATAATAATTTCTCTCAAATTGACAGGAGTCTGATTTGATACAAGAATGGGTAGCTACACTTTTGTTCTTAATTTTCCTTCTGTAATGCTTGAACTTAATTTGGACTTTAGGAGCTACTTTGAGATGGACTGTCAGACTATCCCCCCTCGCAACCTGAGACAACTAGCTCCAGATTGGCGCAACAGTCTTTTCTATGTTGTCCTGAAATTCCTTCATATCCGGGCACAGTGTTTCCCCCTCTCTCTTTGGGCTGGCTGCTTTCTTTGACTCAGCTGATGTAAAGTTCTGGTGGAGCGTATTTTCTCTTTGATCAGTTCATCAGTCTCTTGTTAGTGTCTCTTTTCAATGTCTCTGAACAAATGTAGCTTTTTTAGTCCTCAGTAAATCCTGAGTATGCAGTGCCTGCATCACTGATGTAGCATGTCACAAGTGTCAACAGCCATTTTGCTCATTGTGTTTTTCAAACACCTTTCCATTTGCCAGTGTACTCAGATGTCTGGTAGGTACAACACTACAGTCCCCCAAAGTTCATCCCTATGTCCTCTTAATTAATATATATAGAATTTAGCTCATGACTCTTTTTTTTTTTTTTCCCCATTTTTTCCTTCATCAAATAAAGACTCCTTTTATCCATTTTTTTATTAATTAATTTATTTATTCATCTATTTTTGTTTACTGTTTAACAACTTATTTTCTTTAATTCTCAATCATTTTTATCATATGTAAATATGCTTAATTTTCTATTTGTTAAATGTTCTTATAATTAATTTCTTTGGCTTCAGATTGTGCTTCACTTATTTTTCCTAATTTATTCTAGTGCTTCCTCACTAGTTACATTACATCTTACATTATTTTAATTTCTCTAACATTTCCATATACCTGTTTTAATTCAACAGTACTATATGGTGGCCTAATGTCTAATATAACTGTTCAAAATCCTTACTGCAATAGCTTCAAGTTCATAGTGCTATTTTAACTCTAAATGTTTGTTTACTTTAAGCATTTTTCCAATCTGAAATGCAATTTTTGATTTTAAATTAGTTTTTTAGGTACATAAAATATTAACTATATAATTTTTGAACTCACTATTATGTTCTTTCATTTCTCCTCAGTGTCTATGCTTTACATCTGACTCACTGCTTTTACTACAAATAGCTGTTGGCTCAGATGACAGCCTGTAGCTGACTTTAAAACAGATGACAACAGTCAACTTACTCCACAACAATTTTTTTATTGCACTTAAACATAATTTTATCTTTTAAAGCCAAATCTTGTTTTCTTCAAAATGTTACTGTTTTTTCTAATTTTTATCTTATCTGTTTAATATATATTTTTAAACATCTTCTCTTTTTATTCTATTAAACAATGTTTGGACTTTTTTTTTTCTCCATTTTCCTATGCTTCTTTTCCTTTTCAAAAATTAGCATTTTTGTCTCTTAGATTTTCCTAATTCATTTTTCTTTAAACATTTGATCATTAACTCTTCAATTAATCCATATTCATCAAAGTTTTTCTCTTCTAATTTATTCTCTATCAAAGAACTAACTTATCTATTTTTATTTATACTGATTTAGTAAATTTATTTCCTGATCAATTTAACAATTTATATCCATATGTAGTTATTTCTATGCTTCAATTTTTAAATTTCTTAGTATTTATCAATATAGCTTTCAGTTGCATTTTTATTAACACTTTTTAATTTTTAAATCTTATTCTATCATTAATATTTTCTTATTTTATTTATCTTATTACACTACTTTATAATATTTCTATTTATTTAATACCTTATAATATATCTTTACTCTTTAGCTTCTATCTGTCCTGTGAAACTTTTATTCTTAAAATAGACAGATTCTTACCACTCCTGAAGCAGACCTTCTTCCAGACTGTCGACATGTCAGGAATTTCAGTCCCCTCTCTGCCTAGTTCATACTTAAAAACACTTCAAACACACAGAGATTATTCAGAAAAATGTTGTATATTCTTCTTTTCAGTCTGTGTCTTTCAAATGCAATATGATCTCAATTAATTTTATGAGGCTTAATCCTCCTTTGTATCACAATATCTTCCCTCAGCTGCATCACTCTCTATCTTATTGTTCATAAAATCACACAACATAAGCAGTCCTTCTTTTATATTATAATATAAAACGATAAAACTTTTAAACTCACTCTTATTGCAAACATACTTCTAAACACAATCATACTTCTCACTCATTCTAACTTATCTCTTACACTGTGTAACCTGACCCTCACCTCTATTCTAGTCTCTCTAGAGCAAAGGTGGTAGCTTCTGCATACCAGTATCTTCAGTCCAACACAGACAAATACACAAATACTAACAATTACATAAATACACTACACTACACTCCTCTTGAGTGACCTGTTACTTCTGCTCCCGTCTTTACTGTTCTTCAGTAAAAATAGCACTTCACAGGATTTTTGCCTTTTTTCCCCCAGCCTCCTGCATAATAATATTTATTATTATTAAAACAGAACGGGTACTCCGAGGTCTTTGCGCGCTTCTCTCTACTTTATTAATCTGTTTTAGGGTGCTTTCACACCTGTGAATCGATTCAGTTGTTCCGAAACAGAGATTACAATTGTTACATTGTTGCTCTTTGGTCTTGGAGCGGTTCGCTTTCACACTGCAAAGTTTCTAATCGGACCAAAAGAGCTAAAACAAGTCACGTGTGAGTAAACTCTCCTTACATTGGTCAGAGTGTCAGGGTTTATTTTGCAGCGTCCCGCTCAGCTGTCAGGAGAGGTGGTGATTTGGTGGTGATTGACAGGGTGCGCGTGCGTGACGTGTCTGAGGAGAGATGCGGTGGGGAGGGGTGAGAAGGGTGCGCGATGATGCCTATTTGAGGACTGGGAGAGAGACGCGAGATTACCGGGAGATCATCACTCGTTTGCGGGCATCCGGAGACTCGCGAAACTTCCCGCCCTACTCATAATTCTCTCTTCATATAGCCGTAAGCCTATTACATATCCATAAAACACTGTGATATAACCGCGCTCGGATCGTTTGCTTTCATACTGCAATTGAACCGCTCCAGGGTTCGTTTCAATCAAGCCGAGACCACCTCATTCAAGCGATCTCGGAGCGATTACTTTGGCGCGGAACAGAGCGCGATTGCCCTGTTCACATTAACCAAACAAACCGCGCTAACTGGCCAAACGAGATACGTTCCGAAACAAAAGTGTAGGTGTGAAAGCACCCTTAATCTCTTAACTGTCACCACACTTTAAGAACTTCCTCTTAAAACTTAAAAATGCTCTATGCATATTCTTCATTATTAAAAAATTTCCCAAACATGAGTAACAGTTACTAGTTAACGTTCCGTCAAGGCCCTCTTAGGAAAACACAGATCATTTGCATGCAAATTGTTATTTTCTCCTGGTATTCAAAACCCCATTGTTTTCCTTTCATATCTTTACTTTTTTAGTTTTACTTGTAATTCGTTATAGCTGGAGAAACAGTTCAAGTGACTTTTTACCATTACAAGCAGGCCCTTGGCAGAAAAAAACACAAATGTATAAGCTTAAAATTGCTTACCGTTTTTTATCGTGGCCACATATTTGTGTTTTTCCTCCAAGCCCCAGCATGTCCAGTGTCACCCGTTCGTCTCTGTCCAGCCCCACGATTTTGGCCGTCATTTGTGGTAAATATTGACTTCTCATTAATTACAAATGATCAGACCGGAGGTTTTGAATATCAGAAAATAGACTTTATTCTCCATAATAAAGCCGAGAAAGAGCAGAGCAGACCCCAGAGCATTCTGAAGTCTCTCCTGGACACGTTCTGAAGTCTCTCCTGCACCTTCTAAACTTTCAGTGTGTTTGTTACAATTTTTATACAGGATTATTTGACACACCCCTAAGTCTCTTTTTAACTCTTGACCATTTTTGAATAGGTTTTTAGTCTAAGGGGTCCTGCTATTCTTGGCTCTCAGCCCACTAGCTCATGTCAACAGAGATGTTACAGGTCTGTGTCAGCAACTGTTTTGACACCAAAGTTCTCTCTCCATAGATGCAACTTATGCAAAAGGATTAAGTGTTTACATACATTGTCATGAAAGCATAATCACTTGATAATATGTTACTCATTCCAACTTCTGACACATATACCTTCATACAAGTATTTAACATATATAATCAGTGCTTTACATATTCAGTTATTTTACACAATCAGTCACTCAGCCTTCTCCTAGTGTTGCTCCTGTGCAGGCATACTCATCTTACACAGACATATCACTGTATTTTTAACACAGGCTGGCATGTTTGCTGCAAACACTACATACATTTTGTGAAGAGAAAATGAACTGCTTTACACTTAGAAAATACTTCACACTGAGAGAATAGAAATCTTCTTCATAGTCTGTGTTAGTAAATGCAAGGCTAATTATGAAATGCAGGCAGAACACTGTAGGACAACATTTAACTGTTCTAGAGCCCACAGCTACTCAATCTGTCAGATTCTGGAGTGCATTTCGGCTCGTTTCCACAGAGTTGTACGGTATGGTATGGTTCAGTTTGGTTCGCTTTTATGGCCGTTTCCACTGTCAAAAGGCATACCGAACTGAATCGTACCACTTTTTCGGCACCATTTCGAAAGGGTACTGAACACGAGAAAGGGTACCAAAAGGCGGAGCTAGACGCGCAGCCGAGCGCTATTGGTTTACAGAGAAATGTCATTCGCTTATGCAACAAGCCAGAATGAAAACAAAAGAGCCGCCATGTTTAAAATGAACAGCGGGAGATTACAGCGGAATTATATATCCATATAATAACGAGCCATGGTCGATCCGAGCTTAAACAAACCTTGTCGTCATCTTGATGAACAGCCACAAAGCCATGCAGTAGAGCAGATTTACCCTGTGCCTCGTAGTTAGTTTGTGTTTCGTAGCCTTTCTTGCTTGCGCTCGCCGCGCGTCTATATCTGACATAACAAACTTCTTGAGCTGATGATAATAACGTGCGCTTGATTATTGACGTGATTTTGAAACCCAAACCTGTCAGATACTGACAAAAGCGAGAGTGAATCGCGGAAAAAACAAAGGAGAAGCCGGAAAAAAAGGAGCACGTTATTTCTTCAGCAAACATAAACAAACTGCTTTGTTTTTATTTGTATAATCACTTTTTGGACTAATATGAACTGGGAATGATGGAGTGACTAACAGTGTTTACATGTGCTGGTGAAGATTACAGACACAGATGAGAGGTTTTCACTGACTGTAGCCTATACTTTGTGCTGTATTGAACCTAAATAAGGACTAAATGTCTGCCGTGTGTAGTTTTTCTGTAGTTGGTAACATATCGGAGACTGTAAGGGTCTGTATGTGTTCATATATGTTCATTTATTTATTATTATTATTTATTTATATATTAATATAATTACAGACGTCATTGATCTGCAGTTATAATCAAATCCTGTTCATAGAAAGGTTAATAATAAACATTTATACACAAGTATTTAAGTGTGTAAAGCGTCTGTTTTGTGAGAAGTGCTTCTCATATGATATGTGAGCGACCCGTACAGCTTTATTGTAGACATTTTCTCGAGCTAGAATGATGCGACGGAAACTTTCTAACGTACACCACACCCAACAAAAGGGTACCCTTGGTAGTGGAAACGCAAGCCTGATAAAGGTGAGCCGTACCAACCCGTATCGTACCGTACTGTACCCAGTGAACTCAGGCATGCCTATGCACTGCGCTATGAACCTCCAAAGACAAGATGTGCACCAGCCTCGCCCCTGCCAAGCAGGACAGGATCCCCTGTCCCTGAGCTCTCACCTATTGAAAGAGGTGAGAAACCACGCCGAAGATCTTCGCCAACACCTTCAGAAGAGCCTTACCTTACCCCACAGTGACAAGAGCCTGTGATAGTCAGTCACAGATCGTCATACAGTCTGGACCTTAAAGACCTTGACAAGCTGGCCAGAAACGTTGGCAAGTTTACTCCAAGTGTGTCAGGTGGTTTGGAGGTCCACGCTTATTTGCAAGACATTGATTTCCACCTGGAAATGAGACCCAATGTCTCTGATAAAGAAAGACTGTATTTGCTTCGAGCCACATCCAGCACTGAGGTGCGCAGCTTCCTGGACCGACAACCGGCTCGGGTAAAGAACGATTACCGCTTGCTCCAAGAAGCCCTAATCAGAGAGTTTGCAAACCCTGAATCAGATCAAGAACTGTTAAGTGCTCTGGAGACAAAACAAGCTCGCAATGAGTCCCCACATGCTTACTACAACCGACTCAGGCAAGCCTTTTTCGGAACTCGCAACGAACCGAATATGGAAGAAGACCTGAACTTTAAGATTCTCTTCCTGAGAAACCTCCATCCTGCAGTAAGCCAACATCTCGGAGTACTCGCATGCCCACGAACAATGAGCATCCAGCAATTGCGAGATTTGACACAGAAAGCCCACGACAAACAAAAGATGGTGTTAGAGAAAAACACTAAAACTGCCACAGTTTTTGACTTTAACACCCATCCAGAACTGGCACTAGAGGGTGCCCAACGCTCAAACAGCGTGAGACCACCATCCCCAGCGTGGAATGCGTCTTCGTCCAATAGACAACAAAACTCCTACGATGACACAAGACCTAAACAAAGGAACAGTCACTGGCATGGACCGCATGGACAACGACGCTCACCTGAACACCACCAGGAAAGAAACCAATGGGGGTCAAACAAAAGCTGGTCACCATCCAGTAGACCATCTAAGGGAAGACATCAAAACCCTGGATCATCAAGTCCAAGGAGTCAACGAAGGTACTCCAAAAACTTCCACCCTGACAACGCTCAGACTCAATCCCAGCAAGAGGAAAATACCCCACCGGGATTTGACCCTCAAGAACTGGTGAAATTGATGATGAAAGAGTTTCTCAAATGCATAGAGGAGGACAGGAAACGGGAAAAGGAAAAAGCAGATTCAGCCTGACTAGTCGCCAAGCGGAGAAGCAACAATCACCTGAACCAACAAACACTTGCAGATGAAAGCCCTCAGGTTTCCAAAAGTGCCGTTCGGGTCGTCTGCCACTCCTCTGACAAACCTCAGTTCAGTCCTGAAACCCTTCCTGACCCATTCCAAACTCCGGTACCTCCATTACTGGATGAACATTTGAAAGCTCCGTCATCATTGAACAACAAATGGGGGAGGACCACAACTTGACACAGATCAACTGTTCTACCCTCTACATACTAACATACCCTTTGACATTCTAGGGAACACCTAGTTAAACACAACACTAATACTTTCTCCTCTACAGCACTGCTAGAACAACCTCTAGTAAGAGAGGAGCCACTCCACATATGCAACACTGTTATTGCTGGTTTTTAACCTACCTTGTTTTTTTGCATCCCTGTGCCTCTTGATTTCCTTCTTTCTCTCTCTCCCTAACTGATTTGCAGTTCCAGTCCCCTCTACAGGGAACTCCTGCAAATTCATGCATAGGGCCTAAAAGTAGGATTGACTCCTTCTCCCAAATTAGTGTCAATTGCTGCAGAATTATTGCTTATTTAAGTCGAAGCTAGCGCCACTCCATACATGCAATGAAGTAAACTAGCTAAATAACTAAATTTGAATTATTTCAGGCAATGTTACACTACACCTTGTGTTCTTAACCCGAACAATTTAAGCTAAAACCTGCACCAGAACTCAGTCTATGGAATGGAAATGTGGTTTGTGTCTTGTGTGTCTGTTCTCTCTCTACCTATGCCTCTTGTTCCAGTGTCTGCCGATGTTCATGCCAGGAACATCACCATCCAAATGGGGGATGTGGGGAGTCAACGGATCGTTCCAGAACCGAACAAGTCACAGACCATGTTATCCTTAAAAGATTGGTTGGTACCTACATGTCTGAGCTTTGATTTTATTTTCAAAGCAATCCACAGGCACCCAGCAAAAGGCAATCCACAGGATAACTAGCCAGTCAACATCACAGTTGCGTGTTAATTAACTTTACACCTTAAAACAATAAGAGGCTCTACAACCAAAAACCCACCAAACCGGTTTTTGAGAAGTACCTTTTGGCTCGCGTGTCCTTTGGTGTCTGCAAGGAATACACATTCTCAGGCAGACACAGAAGCGATCAGAAACGCTTGCAAAGTTTAATGGACATTTAAGTAAAACAGTTTATTTGAGTAATGTATGTTTGCTTTATGTTTCTGTAGGTTTTTGTGTGTACATGTTCCATGTGTTTAACAAAACTGTTATAGATAGTTCTTGAGTAATAGCCCTCAGTGACAAATGAAATCTACAGAATGTTTGTAAAATACTTCATGTTTGGTATCGATTGAAAGCTAGGAACATTTTAAATGCATTGGTTTATATGAAGAAACTATACTATGAAAAGTGTTGACGTTATAAGACTTTATTTTAACCACTATGCTATCAAAGCAGCACCCACACCAGGTGTCAACCCGGCCTCCTAGAGGGCAGAATTGGGGTGTGATTCCACCCCGCACCTTATCTGATTGGACAAGCATTGTGTAGACCCAGCATCTACCAAAGCCTATAAAACTTTGAACAAAGGAATTTCATCGTCGTCTTTTGCCGGTCATCTTTGCCAGTGGTCACCGCCGTCGCTGCCCGGACGTCGCTCTTCTCGTGCTGTGGCCGTTACATCGCCTCGCCGGAAGCCTCGTTACATCACGGAGCAGACCGCGACCTTCACTTGCTGCCGGCTCGACCCCCGATCTGCTTGTGCAACCGCTTCAACAACAAGCCATCGGGTCAACACATCCAAACTCTGAAACTCAGGAACTCCAAACTCTGAAACTACAGGAACCCAGGAAGGACTTTGAACGCCGCCTTGTCCAACATCCGTATCCCTAGCAACCGACAAAGGAAACCCCTC